AGGCCCGAAACGTCAGCCTCTCTGCTCCTATGATGCTGCTTGGCCTGCTGTGTTCATCCAGCCCTGCACCTTGTTGTCTCGGATTCTCCAGCATCTGCAGTTCCTACTATCTCTAAATCTTTCCCCTCTCACTTTAAACCTATGCCCTCTAGTTTCCCCCACTCCGGGGAAAAGACCATGTCTATTTACCCTATTCATGCCCCTCATGATTTTAGAAACCTCTATAACGTCACCCCTCAGCCTTAGACGCTCCAGACAAAATAGCCCCAGTCTATTCAGCCTCTCCCTATAGCTCAAGCCCTCCAAACCTGGCAACATCTTTGTAAATCTTTTCTGAACCCTTTTTAAAGTTTCACAACATCCTTCCTATTAGCAGGGAGACCAGAATTGCATTCAGTATTCCAAAAGTGGCCTAGCCAATGTCCTGTACAGCTGTGATATGACCTCCCAACTCGTATACTCAATGCACTGACCAATAAAGGAAAGCATACCAAGTGCCTTTTTCACTATTCTATCTGCCTGCGACTCCACTTTCAAGAAACAATGAACCCGCACTCTATGATCTCTTTGATCAGCAACATTCCGCAGGACCTTATCATGATGGATAGATAGGCATGAGCATACTGGAGTAACTTTCTGGGCAAGTTTAGGTCACCCAGCAGCATCTGCAATGGCAGAGTCAGTGTCAAAGGCATACACGTTGAACTCCAGGCTGTATATCTCTGTCCATTGGAATAATGAAATTTCTGGGCAAATATTGAGCATACTTGAGCGTTGTGACTTCTTCTAGGTCCAGTGCTGCAGGGATATTTGAATCAGATGATCCAAGCCAATATAAATAAAATGTCTGGGCATGAAGAATGTATTGTATTGTTATGGTCTGCATTAAAAAATTCATGATAGAACCTGAGAAAAGTATTGTACCACTAAAGCTCAGAATTTCCTTCGGCATTCTGTTGTTGTGTTGACCTAGTTTTTCCAGACATACGTAGTTATCCCTCTTTGAGATTTCTCACTGTCGTTAAGTAGATTCTTTAACAAAAGTAGACAGTAAGCCACACGTATTTCCTTTTCCAAGCAAGTTCTTTGGCTTTAGCTGGGGATCATCCATGCTCCCACATTCAATCATCAGTACATTTAAAAAAAAACACACATGATCACTGTGAAGATATGCCAAGATTGTAGGGTGTGTATACATCCTTTCTAAAACTGCAGGATCTATGTAATTAGGCCAGCAAGGAAAATAACACTTCTTAGTAAATGAAACAATAGAAACCATTTACGAATGCTAGCTCAGATCAGTTAAGGGGCAACTTGAGAAACAGCAAAGAGGAAACAGTATAAACAGAAAAGGATGCAGAAAAGAGAAGTTAAAAGTTGGGAACAGGAAATGTATTTCTGTCAACTATCTTTTGTGGATGCTATATTATTTTCACTCCATCCAAACATTGAGATTTTTAAAAAAAAAACACATTAAATTAATTTCTGTAACTTTATGCTCCTCTCATTTCTATCGTTTGCAATTCCTGGCATCATCAAGTGACCCTAAACTCTGAGGTATCTTCAGTACTAATGTTTCTGCCTGAACATCAAATTCCTGTGCTGTTTGTCATTAGCCAATTAACAGCTAGCCATGACTTGTCAATTATGTATTTTCTTCCAAAACTACTGGCATCCAAATTGAAATTCTTAACAAGAACTCAGAGCAGGCAGCTATTAAGTTCATTCATGTGAAAAAAATAAGTCACCCAAAAACGCTGTTTGCCAGTTTTCTTTATCTGACTATCTTCACCCTAAATCTTGCATCTTCTGTTCTTCTATTCTCTCAGGTTCTTACCATTTCTCCCACAAAAGCTTCTGTTGAACCCAGTTTTATTCACTTTCTGGGAAATTTCCTTTGTGGTTCCATGGTAAAGGATCTGCTCAATAGTTGCCCCAGGATACTTTCTTTCTGCAGTGTTTTTTCTGACAGAATAACTTTGCCAAAGCTTGCGATTCTGAATCCTTTCGATCTGAATGCAACACATATATAGTATTAGTTCCTAATGTAAAAGTAACATATTGACAATTGGAACTAACAATATCTTAATAAATTCCATTTGGTGCAAAGCATTATCAAACCATACTGGATGTATGAGGGGACAACAATCCTAGCTGGTTTACAAGTCAGGTTTTACAAACCTCTGGTGCACCTGATGATCCTTTAGTAAATAAGATGAAAGAACACATGTGACTAAATGGATTGCTATTTGGCTTCAAGACAAAGAGCAAGTAATGCAAGTAAAGGATAGTTAGTGACTGTGACAGAAGACTGAGTGACAGCCGAGTTCGTCTGGGATCAGTAATGGAACCAATGCCTCTTCACAATTTACATTAATGATTTGGAATCAAAAACATAAGTGACCTCCCCAAATCTTCTTACCAAAATGTGTCGACCTTCATTTGACAAATTATTTGCCCATTCTGCAAGTGTGTTAAAGTCCTCGTGTCATTTATTGCAGTCCTGCTCAGTAGTAACTATACACCCAATGTGGTGTCATCCACAAATCACATTTTGGTTGGAACAACAGGGACGTTATTACTTGGAGAGAGTGAGTTGAAGTGGTGTAGAGGAACAAAGGGATCCTGGATTAATGATGACTGAATCATAAAATATGCACCACAGATAAACAACTAAAGGCTCATGAGAGCAAACCAAACAATATTCACTCTTTCAGGTTAGAATTTAAAGTAGGAAAGTTGTTGCAACAAGCATTGTTCAGACTACACTTGGAGAATATACTGCTGATTATACCTTTATAAAATGAAATAGAACGGGTGCAGGAAAGATTTACAGGGATGATACCAGCAATGTGCAGCATACATATCAGGAAAAGATGTGCAGATTGGGTCTCTAGAAGTCTTTAAAAGTGTGAAACTTAATTGAATGCATACAGAAAGAACCTTTTATTTCTGAGGAATAGCATAACTAGCTATTTAAGAGAGCCATCAAAAAAAAAGAACTTAGAAGAATTTTGACCCAGCAGCAGTGAAGGAACAGCAATATAGATCCAAGTTAGGATGGCATGTGACTTGAAGAGGAAAGTGCACATGGTGCTATCACCATGTGTCTACAGCCCTTGTTCTTCTAGGTGGTGGAGGTCATAGGTTTGGAAAGTGCTATTGAATGAGTTTTGGTGAGTTTCTGTAGTACATCTCGAAGATGGTACAACCTGCTGCCATTGCAGAGGACAGAGTGAATGTTGAGGATGATAGATGGTGCACCAATCAAGTGGACCACTTTTCCCTGGATGGTAGTGAGATTCTTAAGTGTTTTGTTGGAGCTACGCTCATCCAGGGAAATAGAGAGTATTCTATTGTACTCCTGACTTGTACTTTGTACACAGTGAGCAAGCTTTGAGGAGTCAGGAAGTCAATTACTTGTGATAGATTACTAGAGAAGGATCTAGGCCCGAAACATCAGCTTTCCTGCTCCTCTGATGCTGCTTGGCCTGCTGTGTTCATCCAGCTCTACACCTTGTTATCTCAGATTCTCCAGCATCTGCAGTTCCTACTACCTCTAAGTCAATTACTTGCTGCAGGATTCCTAGCCTCTCAGCTGCTCTTATAACCATAACATTTATATGGCTGATCCTAGTCAATAGTAACCTCTGAAATGTTGATAGTGGGGTATGCAGTGATAATAATGGGATTAAGTGTTAAAGATTAGATATTCTCTTGCTGGAGATAGTCATTGCCTAGCACTTATGTGGCATGAATGTTACTACCACTTGTTAGCCCAGACCTGGAAGTTGTCCACATCTGGCTGCATCTGGACAGAAATTACTTCAGTATCTGAAGCATAGTGAATGGCGCTGAACATTATACAATCATTAGTGCACATCCCCATTTCTGACCTTTTTCTAAATGGGAGGAGGAAGCAGCTGAAGATGGTTGGCCTTAGGAGACTGCTGTGAGGCATTCCTGCAGTGTTGCCTCGGAATGAGATGATTGACCTCCAACACCCAAAACTATTTTCTTCTGTGTTAGATTGGAATCCAATCAGTGGAGAAGTTGTAGAAAGGAGCATGGAAATATTTAAGGGAAAACTAGGCGAGCATGAGAAGGAAAAGACAATAGAAGTTCACAACAGCAGAGTTAGATGAGGAAAGGCTCAAATGAAATATAAATGTTATAGAACTAAATAGACTGTCTGGGTTCACAGATAGTAGGAACTGCAGATGCTGGAGAATCTGAGATAACAAGGTGTAGAGCTGGATGAACACAGCAGGCCAAGCAGCATCAGAGGAGCAGGAAGGCTGACGTTTC